CGGCGGTGACGACGGCGACAGTGATAGGTGCCGGAGACCGTGGAGTTGACTGGAACTATTCCTGTGCTCTAGATACCATATGAGAAATAGAGAAGATTGGGAGAAAATATCCCTTGTGTGTTTAGCATACACATAGGGTAGTTTATTTATATTGTAAGATATGGGCCAATGCCCTAATACAGAATAGACTAAGCCCAAATAACAAAAACACACATCTTAATATCTAACAGTGATGATTGTATAATTGTCGTATATTTTTGGTTTTGGCTGTTAAAGCATTCCAACTAAAAAATGCATATGACTGTATTAGCAAATCCGTCCATCCCAATATCTGTGTGTGTGTTTGTATGTTAAGGTATATATAATTATATATTCAACATAACAAAAGATATATCTAACTCCTAAGATGTTCAAATATGATACTGATACCGTGGCCAAAAATGAATTGGTGCATTAGAGCTTTTTCTCTTAAATCTAATTCCTAGCAAGTTCAAACCAAACATGGCTTAAAGCAGTTTTATCTGAGGCATGTTTTCTTTCAGTAGGCATGAGATTTTATTTTTTTGTAAATATGATGTTCTGTGCAACAGCAATAAATGTAGTGGATGCATATCTAGTTCCATTAATTTCTTGAAGCACTTGAAGTTATGTGAAATGTGTATGTACGTACATCTACCATGTCTTTTCTTGTTAAGCCATTATGCTGATGGTTTTCTATTTTTATTTTTTGGGCTTCATCTGTGAATGTCAGATCAATCTTCGCTTGAAACTGAGGCAAGAATATCTTCTGTGATCTATGAAAAGAAGAAATTGTTCAATGACTTATTGACATCTAAAGGTGATTGCTATATGTAGCTTCTTTACTATTGATGGCTTCTTTGTATTGACTTTGTTTTTGGTCCCTTTGCAATGCTGTTTGTGTATTATGTAATATGCAATATACGTCCATTGTAATTTAAGTTGTTAATTACATGGCCCCTCTACTTTTAAGCATACTAAAATGGATGTTTTGCTGAACTGGGATGGTCCATTTAGCTGTTATATATGGTTCTATTATTTGCAGGTAACATAAGGGTATTCTGCCGAGCTAGGCCATTATTTGAAGATGAAGGTTTCTCAGTTGTTGAATTTCCAGATGATTATACCATACGAGTAAATACTGGCGATGAATCCTTGTCTAACTCAAAGAAAGAATTTGAATTTGACAGAGTTTACGGACCTCATGTTGGACAGGGTAAAATGGTTCTACTCTATATTACTATTTTTTTGGGTTGCAGGAGGAGGGACTAGTTAGGGGGTTCCAACTTCAAAATCCTGGTCCTGGTCTGCTTTGCTTCTTGCTTATATTGCCTCTTATCTTATGTTTGCAGCTGAGTTGTTCAGTGATGTTCAACCAATGGTGCAATCAGCTTTGGATGGATATAATATTTCCTTATTTGCATATGGACAAACACATTCTGGAAAAACACACACTATGGTTGTTCTTTCTGTCTTTCGCTGTGTGTGCTGGTTGTTATCCTACTCTTTCAAAAGAAATAGATATTTGGATGAGGGTCTAGAATTCAACGTTGATATAAAATTGAAATACCTCTCATTTGGGTGAGCTTAATTATTTATACATCGAGTTAATAATGCCTGATAATTTGCATCTGCAATGTTCATTCATTATTCTCAGGAAGGATCAAGCTATGATAGGGGATTATATGCTCGTTGCTTTGAGGAGTTGTTTGACTTGTCCAACTTGGACACAACTGCTACTTCTCAATATACATTCTGCGTTACTGTTTGTGAGCTCTATAACGAACAGGTCTCTTTCTTTTAACTTCCTTTGTAACTCTTTCTGGTTTAGTTTGACTTGGGATTATAAAGGTTTCACTGCTCCTTTTATGTGCTTACAGATAAGGGATCTGATCTTGGAGTCAGGGAAAAACTTGCCTAAACTGTGTTTAGCTTCACCTGAATATCTCATAGAACTAATGCAGGAAAAAGTTGATAACCCTATGGAATTTTCTAGGGTTTTGAAAGCTGCATTTCAGAGTCGAGGAAATAATCCATTAAAGATTAATGTTTCTCATTTGTATGATCTCTGGCCTATATTATGCATGGCTACATTGTAAAATGACTTTATAATTTCTATTTAATGTTTCATATGATTGATTTCTATTGATAGGATACTTTCTCCAATGATACAATATACTCTCACCGTTCCTATTCATAACACCTCATACCTAATTCACCATGATTGAGGAAAGTGGTTTAGTTAGCTGATGAAAATAAATTTGTCTTAAATTTATATTTTTGATCCAAAACTACGTGTCACCACTACTCTTCTCTATTGTCTAAGTGTTTTCTTGTACAATCTCTCTTTTCTAATGAGGGACATTTTAGTCCAAAAATAATTAATGGAAGAGACATTATGAATTGAATCTTATAAAAAACACCACTTCAAATTTGGGTCTTATAAATAGAAATAGAGGGATTAATATAATATGCTTAACCTTTTTTTAGCTTCTAGTGTTCTTTTAACACATTGGACTTTTGGCTAATTAAAGTAATATTAGGAAACAATAAATATTGAAGGCTCTAAAATTTAGATATACGGGCTTAGTAAGCAACAATATTAATTAGTTTAGCTATGTCTTAATGTTTTTCTGAATTTATCACTGCCACTATAATTGTTCTCTCAGATAGATTCTCGAGGTTCTTACCATTTTGATATTGGTGCTCACTATTTTCTGAAAGTTGATGTTTTTTACATGCTGTACAGTGTACATTAATTCAGATTAGTGAATTTCATTTTATGCCTTGTATTTTCAGGATTGTTACCATACACATATTTTATAACAATTTGATCAGCGGTGAAAACTCATATAGCAAGTTGTCTCTGGTTGATTTGGCTGGAAGTGAAGGTTTGATATCAGAAGATGATAGTGGTGAGCGTGTCACAGATATGCTTCATGTTATGAAGTCACTTTCAGCGTATGTCTTTTTTTCATAATGTTTTTTGAACTCTTCAATTTTTTCTTCCCTATCAACTTTATATTTATTAGCTTAGTAGTCGAAGGTGTTCTTTGTTCACCCACGTAAAGTTAATGTCTAATGTCAATTCTCAGTATACCACCTGTTAGAATTTTCTGAGTCTTACTTTTTGTTGCTTTTGAAAATGTTTTTACAGGCTGGGAGATGTATTATCTTCTTTGACATCAAAAAAGGATGTTATTCCTTATGAAAACTCAGTGTTGACGAAACTACTTGCAGATTCTCTTGGTATTATTATTTTTCTTTTATTTTGTTTTAATAAGCTTATGGTAACATCTATATGGTTTTAAGTTGTTAGACACATTGATTCTTGATTAAAAATTACAACAGAAATTGCACGTGCCTCTTAAAATGCTAATAAGTTTTATATGCTTGGTGTGACTTTTGCGTGATATTATATTTTCTGTTCAATACTTGATACTGTGCATTGTTTTTGCTGTAACTCTTCGTTCTCTAATTGGATTGTTGTTACTATTAATCCAAACCTGCTCCACTTCAAGTGGCACCTGTCTTGTTCTTACTTGATTTGTTTGTTTTCTGGCTTATTTTGTCAGTGTATTGAAGGTATGTAGTCTTTTGTTAGTGTTACCATTTTTTGTTATCTCTCTTTTATATGTTGATTAGAATTTATGGAACTGTTTCTTGATTATAAATTTAGCTTTTGGAATCTGTAAGCAGGAGATTTGTTTTTAGTTGTGTTTGTTAATTAGGAAAACATAATCCTTATGTTAATTATGTTATTTTTTCATATTCGTTTGTATTTGGGCACATTCTCATTATTATAAATACATTACCTTATGTATATTTTCTACACAAGAGAGATTAATCCAATATCTAGTTTTACTATATTCCACATGGTATTAGAGCCTAAAACTTTTGATAGGCAATATTTGAATTTTGAATTCATTGAGAGAGGATTCTCTTGGTTATTGTCATAAAACACGGGTTCTTATCAAACATTGAGATATTTGTGAAGAATCTTCATTGACTCATTAGTGTGCTAGATTGTGGCGTCTCCATATTTGTCTTATTTATGCGTTCTTCTCTGATTTTCTTTATTTATGTTACGGGAGGAATCAAATTCAAAAATGATTATACTCTTTTTTGGATAGGATCGTATAATCTGGGCAGCTATCAACTGTGCTGAGGTCACCTCAATCTACAAAATTATCCCAAAAGTCCCCTGCATACCAGGACCTCCCAACTATATAAAGGAAATCTCACTCACTCTAACAACCCAACTAACAACTACTTCTTGATTTGTTTACTCCTATCGCACACATTATATCCTTATTATTATACGCAACTGCAGAACAACCTTGTTCTCAAGGTTGGAATAGTGAAGCTTGATCCCATGACAGTATAGTATTGTGTTATCATCGGAAGGGAACCCATTCGCTACTGTCTGTAATTTTAGATTTGGAGGCTTGGGTGGTGGTTGATATGAGAGAATTGTTAGCTCCTTCGTTTTCATTAATGATAAGAACTGCTTCAAACCAAAAGACCTGGAAAACCAATGAGTTCTTGCATGACTCAAAAATGCTGTAGCAAATCTTCACGACGACTTTCCTTTTCTCATTTCTACTTTTAGTCTTCTAGAATTACTTGGTCATCCCCATAAAGCACAAGTGTCGCAGTACGCTCTGAAACTGTTTGCACTGCTTCCATTACTGAAGTTTCTTTCCTACCATCTTTACTTTCTTTCATTGTGAGTAATTCAAAATGGCTAGTTAATAACATCTCTGCAAGAAAATTGGAAATTCCTTTGTGGCCACTGCTAGAGGCAAGATCTGCAGGTGTTATAACGTCAGGAAATTCAGGATATGGATCTTTAACTGCTATAGTAGATGCACCCATGGACACTGGGGCCTCAGTTGGGTTGCTCCCTGACCCCACTGTTTTAACCCCCGGCCTCAACAATTCTTTTTCCTCATCTAGTTTACTACTCTGAGGATATCATTTTTATTTATTTTCTTCATCATTAGCCATGTACTCTCCTTCTTCAGAGAATTTCTTGCCTTGATGTTCTGTAGACTATTTTTCTCAGCATCCATACCTGTTTTCCCCTCATTCTTTCCTTTCATGACAAATTTCTCACTTCCTTTTGAGTTCCTTTCTTGATTCTGTTATTCCTGTATCATTTCTTTCAATTCTTGGAAACTTTCCCTTAATTTGGCTATGGCTCTACCCTGTTCGCTGGTCAATCTTTCCAAGGCACTGACTCTCCCTTCCATTATTCCACACCTTCTTGATCTGGCAAGTTGGACCAATTTGTTAGTAACCCAAAATTGAAAAGAGAAAGAAGAGTAATATTGTTTATTGTATAGACTGAAAAGAACACAAAAATAGGAGAGCACTCTCTCCTCCAAGGGTTTCCCTTTCACTAAGAGCTAAAGCTCAATCTACAAAATTATCCCAAAATGTCGCCTGCATACCAGGACGGCCCAACTATATAAAGGAAATCTCACTCACCCTAACAACCCAACTAACAACTCCTTCTTAATCTGTTTTCTCTTATACACATTATATCCCTGCTGGATATATTAACATTAAAAAAGGAGCATCTATATGATTAAGAAGACACTCTGGAATTGAGTGTCTGCAGGAGCTCTGACCAGAGCTCTGACCAGAATATGACAGAGCATCTGTAGAGGAAGACTTATAGGTAAAAACCGCATGAAGAAGCATCTATTTTTTATATAGAGCACTGATATACTCCACAAAAGGTAATCCTGTCTGAATTAAGTTGGACCACTATGGCAACAATGCTATCCCTTTTAGTATTTAACGCAGTTGCATATGTAGAACTCACATTTGAGACCATCGGTTAAGCTAGAACATCCCCGTGCTAGTTGATTTACATGGTGGTAAAAGAAATCTATTGAATAAAGAAAAACTCAATTAACTAACTAACAATGGTGTTAAATAATGTTGTTTTGAAAATACTTAAGTTTAAGCCGAGGCACTGATTTGAGAATAAAAGTACTTTGGTCATGAAATTGAAAGGAAACTACAGGGACCAAAATTTGGATCTAACCTTTGAATTTTTATTTAACAAAGGATAACGTCTTCTTTTGTATGGGATATAGAAACATAGGTACCAGTGTGAGGTGAGACTAAATATTTACTTTCATTTCTTTATATAAATTTGAAATAATTTACCTCTGCTCATTCTTGCTCTTTTTTCTTTGTCCTGAAAGTCGACACTCAATGTAGTTATACACACACATATACTATTTATTCATAACTAGGTATTCAATTATTTCTGCTTGGTCTTAGACATGTGATTATTTCTGCTTGGTCTTAGACATGTGATAACGTTTTCATTATAATTTTTTTTTCATGTTTTAGGTGGAAGTTCAAAATCTCTGATGATTGTAAATGTGTGTCCAAATTCTTCGAATTTATCTGAGACATTACTGTCTCTCAATTTCTCTGCCAGAGCTCGTAATTCTGTCTTAAGCCTTGGAAATCGAGATACAATTAAGAAGTGGAGAGATGTTGTATGTTCTTCCATAATCCCATTCCTCCTTTGGAAAAAGACAGTCTTCTACTTTTGATTTGCTTTTCATTTCCAACTGGGGTTTTTTGGAAAGCAATTAAAAATAATAACTCTTCTTATGGTGTATAATAGTTATATGAATATAATGTTTTAGGATTGAACCCATCCTTTTTCTCAATTCAAATTTCAGACAGTGTTTGCTGGTCTAATGAAAAGTTACTTGGCATGTAAAGATTGATTCTTGTGCGGTGTAATTGAGAAATTGCTTGGACTTGGCTATATCTTTTCTTATATAATGTTTTCATTCCATGGGAAGTTCAATTGTACTCAGATTTCTATCACTTTATAAAAAAATGGTGGTAATTTCAACATACTTCAAGATTACATATTTACTATATATGTTCCAGATTTAAGTTGTGATGGTTTTATAGGCAAATGATGCACGTAAAGAGTTATATGAGAAGGAAAAAGAAATCCAAGATCTCAAACAAGACGGTCTGAGACTTAAGCAAGCACTTAGAGATGCAAATGATCAGTGTGTTCTACTCTTCAATGAAGTACAAAAGGCATGGAAAGTTTCGTCTGCATTGCAGACAGATTTAAAGGTTTAAATGCTTACTAATTATAGTATAGTATGTGGTGACGTGTTGCTTAGTGGTTTGAAAATTCTGTGTATATGCATGACATGTTGTAATAATGTTAATGAGTATTTGAGTTCAATTAGGGATGAAGGCTGCGATGAAACTTGGTTTTAGATGTCAGAATTTACTAACAAGCGGAATAATAAAAAATATGAACGATAGAAAGTGAAGTGGTGCAAATTCACTATTATGATAAACCAGAAAACTTAGAATGTTCCAAGGACCCTCAGCTAAGAGCCAAACTCCTGAGAAGAATCGTAATAATTCTCCCCCTCCTAATCCACCAAAAACAAAATGTGTCCCCTCACATCCTACACCTCAGAATCTATAACAACCCATACCCGTTTTTCTCTCTCTTCTAACTAACACATGCCACTCACGAAGCCACGTCACCCTTCTCTCTCCTCATATAAACTTTGCCCCACCTATTTTTATTATTTCCTCCTCCTTGGATCAAGGGTTCATTGACTTCCATAACACTTGAGTACGTATCAGTTGGACAACAATGAAGGCTGCAATCAAATCACATGATCAGAGGCTCCAAAGGATTGAGAGCTCTAATACCATCTTAAATTTAGGAGAAAGAATATATTTTTTATTATTTTTCTCTTTACATACATTGGATATATATACTAGAGCTTATCAAATATTTTAGGAAATAAAGCAGCCTATTCTACGGAACAAATCCATGTGGGATTGTTATTTTAGTAATAATAGCAAGATACAAAAAATATAAAAAATTAAATACATGGCAATAATATGTAAAATTTCCTAAAATATATTGACAGTCATTGTCCTCTCTTCATTGGATATCAAATTTGCTAAGTTTTCTTGCTGTTGTCCTTGTGTTCCTAAATTTTAAAGAGTGGAGAAGTTTGTGCCAAGTGATGTTCTTTTATCATCCCAATTGGGTGATGTTCTTTCACTTTTCCCCCTATTCTGTCTATTCTTTTATGGAGTTGATTTCTATTGGCTATTGTTTGAAGAGTCAATGTTTCATGTGCCTTTGTTCAGAGAGATGTGAACGTTTGTACAAGATATGCTTGATGCCCACTTTTCTGAACATGCAAACTGTGCTGCAATACTTGATTGTTAGCTTGAACAGGATACTTGTCAGTGAGCAACATCATTGCTTTATTTTCTGCAGGCAGAGCATATTTTGCTGGCTGATACTTATAAGGCAGAGAAAGAAGAAAATTCTCAGCTTAGAAATCAAGTTGCTCATATGTTACAGTTAGAAAAAGCACAAAATTTGCAGATACAACAGCGCGATTCAACCATTAAAAGTTTGGAGGTTAATATTTAGTAGTTTTCATAAAATCTTAAAGTACTTTGTGAATGGTTTATTGAGTTCATTTTCTTCAATAATTTTGTCGGAGATAGGAGTATTTAGGAGAGGAGCTTCTTTAATATTTATTTTTTCATGTATCCAATATACTTGGAATGGCTATGTTCAATACATCTTAGGAAGTAGTGGTATTTTAATTTCTCTATAGAATTAGTTATCTTTGAAACACTCTTCCATGCAATAAAATCTCCATTCTGCTGGGTTAGAAAACACTAGAGCACATCTAGAAATGTTTCGTTTGTCATTTCCACACAATTTTTTTTATTACCTGTTGTTTCCTGATAACAATTTGAGTTATTTCAAAAAAATGTGTGCAATGTTCTAAATACTGACATAGCAGGATCATCATTTGCAGTTTGTATGCAATTTAGCAAAGCCACATTAACTAATTAATCTTGGTTAATATTATGGATGTGTTAGAATCCTATAGATATTTGGTAGCTGATGGTACTAGTATCAATTAGATTGATTCTATATATATGTTATTAGCCTAATATAGGGTAACTGATTATTTTGTATTCATGACTGAATGTTCTATAAATTTAGTTGCTCTGCTGGGGTCAGAACACAAGGAAATCATCATATGCCTTCTGTTAGGAATAAAAGAAGTTAGTTGTTAATAGAGAGAGGGTATAAATAATAACAGAATAGGTGGAGAGAGGATTATCAGATATTTTACTTTTGGGAATAGACTGGACATTTTTCCGGTGGAGGAAGAGAGGCTTCCTTGGGACACTTACCTGTAAATTCTGTTTTTTCATATTTTACAGAATTAATGAAATACGTATACATTCATCTCTTTTCTACTGTTTGAGTGTTGTGAGAGAGGAGAGTCATCTGTTACGGTTCCTTGCATAAAGGAACCTAACACCTTCTTGGTTTCCCTCTTCTCAACAATTTGAATATTAAAATGCATTCTAGGTTCTAGAAATAGTCAGCTGTACAGAAATCATATTGAAGTTTCACTTCCCGTCTTTTATCTGTAATTGAAAAACAAACCTTTTACATTTTTTTATTTTCATCTTAGTTGTTAGAGAAGTGGGCAGTTGCTTCCTTAGCTCTTTTCATATCCTGATAGATATAAGCCATTGGAGTTTCTTCTCACAATCTAAAGAAAGCATATGGATTAGAATACCAAACACCTTTGCAGCACACCTAATAACACGTTGTTCCTATTTTGTTTCTGGGTTCCAAACATCATGACATGGACCAACTTTCGAAATTGCAAGTGTTAGATAAGGCTCATGATTGGCTTAACAATAACAGTTACAAAATCCCTCAGCTAGTACAATTTTGAGACACTTATTTGCGTTGTCTCCCTTGCCTATTCACTGGTAATCTTCTAATATAAACATCACTTGAGAATTAAACTGTAAAATAATTCTAGAGGGCTTGATTGATCCCTCTCATAATCTTCTATTTATAAGAATAAATTGATACAAGAGTACATGATAAATAGGGTAACCTAGACACAATATAATCATGATAAATAGGGTAACCCTAGACACAATATAATCATGATAAATAGGGTAACCCTTAACACAATATAATTATGATAAATAGAGTAATCCTAGACACAATATAATCATGATAAATAGGGTAACCCTTAACATAATATAATCATGATAAATAGGATAACCTTGAGATAATATAATGATGATAAAATAGGATAAATATCCTAACACTCTCCCTCAAGCTGGAGCATACAAATTGTATGTACCAAACTTGAAATAAAAAAAATAAATCAAACAAAATCAACTTGTCTAAAATGTCGAGACAATAGACGTGGTAACTTTGGCTTCGAACAAGATACACATATGCTTCAGACCATCGAGAGAGAATGTCTATAAACCAAATTGAACTCACAATCCAGCATAGCCAAAGAAACTCTTGTTGAAATATAGGACTCGTCTTCAAGAGTGTGCAGCAAACCGATGATAATGGTTGTTAGATGTTAAGTTGTGTGTTTCTGTTAATTGGGCTTAGCCCATTCTGTATTTAGGGTTTAACCCTTATCTTACATTATAAATAAACTACCCTATGTGTATGCAAAACACATAAGGGAGATTTCTCCTAATCTTCTTCACTATATTCAATATGGTATCAGAGCACAGGAATAGTTCCAGTCAACTCCACGGTCTCCGGCACTCATCATTGCCGCTGTATGCTTCCAACCACTGTAGGCCCCATCACCTCGTCGGTTAGTGATGGCAGTCCCTGTAGTTTTGTTGCTTCCAGCCACTACAGGCCCCATCAGTCAGTGATGGCAATTTAGTCCCTACAGTTTTATAGCTATCAACCGCCGCTGCAGTCGCTACTGTCTCAAGCAGACGCAACTGCGTCAGTTCTTCTTGGGCTAGAGTTTAGTCCGATCTTCTTGTGATACACTGCTAAGTATCACCACTATTCCACATTTCTGCCCTTCACACTAAGGGGGAGTACGTTTCCAAGACACTGCAAGTCACATATATATGGGTGTAGTCCCTGCAGTTTTGTAGATTTCAGCTACTACTGTTGATCCCGTC